AATGTACTCTAGATCAGGCCGGCGGCGACCAGAGATGGGACACTACCGCCGCGGCAATTGCTCGCTTCTGTTCTCTCTTCTCATCGGCCGCTGTAGCTACAGAGCAGCCGATGAGAAGAGAGAACACAAGGGAACGATCGCCATGGTGGTAGTGTCCCTTCTCTGGTCCCGCCGGCGGCGCTCCTCGATGACATCCGCTGTCTTCTGCAGCTTCCTCCGCCCACCTCAGCTGCCAGGCTGGGAGGAAGACTGCAGAGACGGTGAGACCGGCCACCAGAAAGTTAGCAGGGAAAAGAAGGTACATGGAGGATCTCTGCACCGACCTCGGCGCTGTGCGTCACTCTGACCTCTGCGCTGTGCGTCACTCTGACCTCTGTGTTACATTACTGACCTGGCGGAGTTAAGTCCGGGGCAGGGTAGGGGTTAGGTGGGGCAACTGGTGGCGAGTAACTTTTAAGGCCTGGCTGTAGCTCAGGACTTGAAAGTTTGAGCCCTGCTCTAGATCATGGGGAGGCAAGCTCGTCCCTTCAAAAGCAGGCCATCGACTGACTCCCAATAAGTCCTGTAATAACTCACCAGGTCAGCCAATGTCTATGTTATGGTATAATCATTGTAGATCCTTTTTCCAGGTATAATACAATGCTCTATTTTATGGCCTTTATTGACTGAGAGTCAGAACAAAGTTGCCTCACCCCTTCCTGACAAGACATTTTGTGTAACCTGTCAGTACGTTGTATTCAGCTTCTGACAGGTTGTGCTATTAGCTTCTGACTGTGCTTTTATTCTATCAGTCAGACATTAAAAAGCAGCATGTCATAAGAAGTACTAGAAATGGCAGACAAGATATGACCAGAGGAAGCAACAATAAAACTGCCTGTTATGACTGCATAATTCACCTTGGCTGTGAATGAACCTCATCGTGGCCCTTGATCTGCAGTATATGAATTGAAGAGATATGGAGATCTATGACACTACAGTGGAGATCATTAGATCCCATTGTCTCTGGCTGGTCTTGGCTTTGCGATGTTGCTCCATGTCCTTTCAGTTGTATGCACATCCCCTGCACTTGTGAGATGCCAGAACATACCTGATCATTGTATGACTGATGGATCAATGGCTGTGTGTCTCTGCAATGTCAATATGTACATAGACACACAGATATCCAATGATCCATGCAGCCATGCCATGGCAGTGGGTGACGCAAGCGGCCTCACCAATGCCATGCTGTCTATCATACCACTCTGCAAGGAGTGGCAGGCAGGGTCCGGTTGCAAGTATAATGGAACCCCCCTCCCCACCTTTGAGCCGTCAGAGCCCAGGCAGGTCCTTCACTCACCTATCCCAGAGGCCACATAGATGAGGCAGGAAGATGAGAGCGAGAAATAGAAGATAAAGGCAAAGATGGATCCGTTGGAGACCTGCAGGAACCTCCAGAACATCGACCTCATGGTGCCTGGGGGAACAGAAGGCGGTGCGGGGCCTTTCTGGGTGTTTTTTTTGCCGGCCCCCTGGAAAGTTCCGCCCAAGGCAAATGCCTAGTTTTCCTTGCGGTTCCTCTGGCCACACGTTTAGAATTCAGCTAGAACATATGCAATTCTGAGAAATCTTTGGTAAGCGCATTCCATGATGCCATCATTGAGCCAACTCATTTCATTTGAAAGCCGTAAAATTGTTTGTCCAGACATGCGACTTGAATTGAATCCCAGACGTATCAAACAGGTTTCCATTTCCGGAGTTTTGCGTGTCAGATTTGGCTCTTTTTTTTCTACACTTTTTCATGTCAAACCAACACAAACAAAAGATATAAACATGAGAATGCCGAAACATTTGTAATTGCAACAATTTTCTGCGCAAAGTGGTGCATTATCTGACGGAAATACAGGGGTGCCAATATTTTTGACCATGACTGTAGTTCTCACTATATACAATATTGACCCATTCACATACAGGAAATGTCTGTTGATTTAGCACGGGGGCCACGGTCTACCCATATTCCCGTGGCCCCCGTCGATTCTGGAATTTTTCAGGACGCGATTCTCTCCAGCCCTCGAGCTATGGACGCATCTGCTGGACCCCACATTGCGATGGCAGCTGGATTGTCAGATGTTCTGAGGGATGATGGTGGACAGCAGGGCGGCGATAAACAGAGGGGGGGCAGTCACCTTTGTGCAGTTAGGTAAATGTGCAGCGTATGCAGGAAAGGATTAAAAATATGCAGCACATTAACCCAGGAAGAGCCAAAGGGTTTATAATAGGCTAAAGGGAATCAATATTCCAAAAGTAGATGGGAACCCTAACTGGATGACATTTAGTTTGATCTGTGTACCATAAAGAATTGCTGTTTTTAGAAATAAAATCCTCTGTTTTTAAATCTTTTGTTGCATCTCTGTGCTGCTGATCTCATGCGTGATGTGTGTTATCACAGCTGCTTATAGTTTCCATCAGAAGCCTGTGTGATGGGGTGACAACAGAGGATAAAAATTGGGAGACAGGGATGGAGTGTTGTCACCCTATAAAAGGAAGTCCATGAAAAACCTTCTTGGTAGGATCACCAGGCATTGTTTTGATGAAATCTGAAGATTTAAAAAAATGAAAAACAACTTTCATTCCCGATCACTCATAGAAAGATACTTCAAGTTGCACTTAACATACAGTTTTCCATGGAAAGCGAGCCAAGCCAGATCCCTAAACTTCATTGGGATTCTCTCCAAATTAATCAATCGCAAACCCTCCCTCAAAACCAGGCTTGGGCAACCCCTTAAGGCCAGTGGCTCGCAAAAAGCAGAGCTCATGATCTGCTTTTCAAGAAATTTCCTTGGAAGAGATCCGATTTCTCCTGCTGTTACTTGCCACTGCCAAAGCATTTTCAGACACAGGGCAACATAAGTCGGGAGCCTATCATGCTTGACCCTCCGGCTTTTCACTGGCCCACCATTTTCCCAGTCTCGAAGAAAGGGCCTAAACCAGGACTGAATAATAACCAACCCAGGCGGTCTCTCTGCCAACATGTTACCAAGGTTGTACTTTACAAGCATCAGAGACAAAAATACTACAGGGTTGCTCATCCCTAGACCACCCTCCCGCCTAGGAAGGTAAGTCACATTCCTTTTGACGAGTTTTATTCTGTTCCCCCATAACAGCTGGAAGAAACAACTATAGATCCTGGTATAGAGAGACACTGGCAAAACACAAAACTGACATACAGAAAAATCAGAATCAGGTAAGTCTTGATCAGATCAACCTTTACCCTCAAGAAAAGCCACCAACCTTTTCAGCTTGCCACCATGGCATTGGCATTCTTCAGCCTGTTCACCCAATTTGCATGACCATAGTCACCTGGGCCAAATTCAATGCCTAAAACTCTAACTTTTTGTTGGGGCTCCAGGAAGTCATCCAGGAGAACAAAGCTCTCACCTTCCAGGCCCATCCAGAAAGATTCACACTTGTCTTGGTTGACCTTTGAACCTGATGCCTCTGTATACTGTTCTACCACTGAGACCACCTCCTGCGCCTCCCCAGTCCCAGGGATAAAAACAGAAACGTCATCAGCCTAGGCCACAACCTTCAAAGGAGGCTCACCACATTGCCCAAAGGTATCCCACACAATGGTCCGCTCTCTAGCCTTCTAATGAAGGGGTCGCTTGCAATCACATATAGCAGAGGACTCAAAGGACATCCCTGATGCACACCCAAGCCAATCACAAAGAGCCACAGACCCAACCATTAACCAGAGGAAAGCTTTAAGCCCTCGTTCACACCTGAACGTTTTGTAGCACGTTCTACGCTCGACGAACGGTCTACAAAACGCTCAAAAATATAAATCCCATTGTATTCAATGGTCTCGTTCACACTTTGGCGTATTTCCGCCCGTCCCTAACGCGCTACAAAACGGCCCACGCCTGAAAAGGTACAGGTACTACTTTGGGCCGTTTTGTTGCGCGTTTCCATTGGGATACAGCCAAGTAGCCTTCGGAAACGCGCTACGGTCGAGCAACTTTTTTTTACCGCGAATCGCGATAAAAAACCGTGCGACGTTCGCGCGACAGACGCGCATATGCAATACGCCTAGGTGTGAACGAAACCTAAGCCCCTTTGTACAAAATCTTGAGCCAATCAATGAAGCCCCCTCCAGGCCATATTTGCCAAGAAGGAGCCATAGGTACTCATGATTAACCCTATCAAAGGCCTTAGCCTGATCCAATGTCAGCAGAAATTTACCCCAACCATCAGCCCTACAACGTTCCAAGGCCTTCCAGACAGCTAACACAGCTGAGAAAGTGCTTCTGCCCTGGACCGAGCAATGCTGGTGGTGGGATAACAAACTGCTTGCCACTGGTGACAATCGCCAGAAAAAAATCTTTACCAGTATCTTTCTATCGACATTAAGAAGGCTAATCATACCTGTGCTGAGTTCCTGTGTCTGAACATCTGCTGTGCCCATTATGAGGGGCTCCCACCATCCCTGTACTGAGTTCCTGGGTCTGAACACCTGCGGTTCCCATTATGAAGGGCTCCCATCATCCCTGAACTGCGTTTTTGGGTATGTACACCTGATGTGCCCATAATGAAGGGTTCTCACCATCCCTGTGCTGAGTTCCTGGGTCTGTACATCTGCTTGCCCATTATGAGGATCTCCCACCATCCCTGGGCTGAGTTCCTGGGCCTGTACACCTGCTGTGCCCATTATGAGGGGCTTCCACCATCCCTGTGCTGAGTTTTTAGGTCTGCACATCTGCGGTGTTTATTATGAGGGGCTCCCACCATCCCTGTGCTGAGGTTATGGAAGCAGAATATAATGAGCTCTTCAGACTAAATGGAATCATGTTATCTTGTCTAGGAGTGACCAGCTACATGATGTGAAATGTGTCTGAGTTACCTGGTAAAGTATTAAATGAAATATCTGGGCTTGCAGGAAAGTAATGGGAAGATATAACGTGAAGCTCTGATTGGTCGGAAGACCTATACTGCACTAGGCAGCGATTGGGCAACATCTGCGGACAGCCAGGGGGTTAAATAACTAAGTGATTCCCATTTGTGTTTGTCCTGTTGCCCCTGTAGGACAGAGCCGGCTCCTCCAGCTGCCCTGTGACCCCTCTGCTCTCTCTGCTGGACCCTGGAATGTGAAAGGGCGGAGAAGTTTACAATTACTCCTTCGTCCTTTAAATATCTCCAGCTTAGGGATTTGTAGCCTGGCGTTTAGGGAGAGTGGAGCTGGTGGGTGCCACAGCCGTGCCCTCTTTGCCTTCACTATGCTCTCCTGACTGACCTGACCGGGACCCCTTTTTCTGGATTTACCCAGGACGTACCCCTCACACCGCCGTGCCTGGTAAACGGTCGCGGGCACCCCGAAAGGTACCTCACTGCTGCACACGTATCCGCTTCTGGCACCCCAAAAAAGGTATAGCTTTTGAATTTCTTTAATCCTAAAGCCTATCTACACCAGAGCACTTAAAGTGTATGTCCAAGCAAACTTTTTTTTTCTAGTTTTGGATGGAGTGGGGGAAATATTAGAAACACTGTCAGTTTTTTTTTTTACTGCTATCTGGGGCTCTGTTAGAGAGATTTCCCCTTACTTCCTGTCCTGGTGACTACAATTTTACAAGGAAGAGAAGCAAAATCTGCAACAGAGTCGCATAAAGCAATGACAAGCTGAGGGGTTCTAGCGTTTCCCTACTCTACTGAAGAAAATCCTTTTTATTCGTGTCTGTGTTGCTATTAGAAAGTTCCTTTCGTTTGCTGTTTGGTGAAACTGTTGTCACCATAAGAGGAAGGAGAAATCTGTTAATGGAGCCTGGGATAGCCAGAAAAAAAATCAACCCTTCTCCACTCTATTCAAAGCTAAAATAAAAAGGTTATGGGCACATTAAAGCTGAACTCCAGGCACAAAAACTTTGCTTTAAATATATAAAAGTTTTAAACTGATGATGTTGTTGCACAACAAGTTAAGTCTTTATATATGTGGGGGGAATTTATCAAAGCTGGAGCATACATAATTTGGAGCAGTTGCCGAGGCAACCAATCAGCTTCTCTCTTCAGTTTGTTCAGTTAGGATTTGGAAATGAAAGATAGACGCTGATTGGTTGCCATGCACAGCTGCTCCAGGTTTCTTCTACTCCAGTTTTGATAAATTCCCTTCACTGTATATCCAGCTTTAAATTCAATCACACCTGATTATCCTACCCAATATATCCACAAGCACTTTCCTCAGGTGACAACGCTTACTCTGTTTCTCTGCTAGGTTGTCACACTTTCCAGAACCCTCACAAGTTGTTCTAGAAGCCATCGCCGCCAACACAGTGCACTGGCATGTTCTGCCATAGCTACTGCAGCAAAATTGTGACATTCAGCCACCAATGTGCATACATACACAGGAAGATAATACAAGGAGGATAGGCACAAGACGGGAATAGAAACCATGAACGTGGTAAAGAAAATAATGTTTTTTAAACAAAAAGATGCAATCCTGTTTTACTTGCAGCGCAGTGGAACTCTGGGCAAAATGGCATATATGATGCAGTCTGTCAGTAGCGATAACACAGCAGTTGTTTTCTCACCTGTTGATCCTGCCAGTAGATCTGTCATTAGTCTGCTTCCTGTACCAGAAAAAGTGACAGTTACAGGGGTTGGGACAAATCACGTATCTGCCATCAGTTCATACAACAGTCAGCTTTGTACTTATACCTTCATTCCAAAAGAAAAGAACTGTTCCTGCAACTGCTTAAAAAGTGTGAGCTGGTGTTAGTCTTTGATTTGTTTGTCTTTGAAGGCCGGTGCACACCTAGGTGACACCCCACCAGTGCGGCAATCGTGCACCCCAAACCGCGCGGTCAGGAGTCGCCCAGGTGTGCACAGATCGCGCTGTGGGTGCCATTATTTTCCAATGGCACCCTAGTCTCGCCGGGAGGATCTAGCAAAGAACTTTTATTATTTGCCCCCTCTTGGTCTGTTCAAAATACAGTTGAAGGCATTTTGTTTTACCTTTTAGATGAGTGCAGAAAATATCTGCCAGAAATCCAGTGAAATCCAGAATTGACGGTCTTATCTGCAGCCTTAACTCTAGTACTGTTATCAGCTCTGCCCAGTTCTCTTTGGGAACTACAACCCTCCCCTCAATGATGGGAAGAAATTGTACCATTAGGAATGACTCGTGAAAGATTTTAGAATGAATTAAATTAATTTAGAATGAAAGGAGAGGAGGAGGTGTTCTGTAGCCCTGTCCTAGGATGACAACACTGCTCCTCTATTGATGAAGTGCAGTGTGTTAATGTTGTCACCCTAGGACAGGAGAACTACAACCCTCCCCCCATTGTTGGGAAGAAATGATTTTGTTAGGAATGACTCGTGAAAGATTTTAGAATGAATGAAATGAATTTAGAATGAAAGGAGAGCAGGAGGTGTTCTGTAGCCCTGTCCTAGGATGACAACACTGCTCCTCTATTGACAAAATATACATTGTGTAAGTGGATATGTGTTACTAGAAGAATCATTAGTTGAATATAAAGGGAAAGAGCCTAAAAAAGAAAATGAATGCAGCCGCCACATGCAAGGTCCAGCCATCTGCAATATATTAGATTTTGGGTTTCGAAAGGCTTTATGTCCATTTAAAACTATGTGTCCCTCTAAGACTACCCTGTCCACAGGGTGACAATGCTGCATTATATGTATCATTTCATACCAGCTGTAGGTAAAAACCAGAGCAGTAAAGATAATGGAACAGCACACCTTAAAGGAGAACTATGGGGTAAGTGTTTTTCCCCATAGTTCTCTTAAGGGTCACCGGAGGTCCTGCCGTGACCCAAAGCTCAGTATATAGTGAGCTACAGCTCGCAGTATACTGAGACAGCCGCAGCCGGGACGGATCCTGACATTACTGTTGAGATCCACTCAGCTGCATGATTGACAGCTGGCTCTACCTATCTAGAGGCAGAGCCAGCTGTACCCGCACCCTCCCCCGTCGTTCTGCCAGTCAGCGCTGGAGGATCGGAGCGGGGAGGGAATCCCTGCAGGGAGCCATGAGTGACAGTCATGGCTCTCTGCAGGGACATGATCAAGAAGTGAGCGAGCGACGGTATGTGAAAATCACTCACCTCATAGTTCTCCTGTAAGACCCCACGCGTGAACATGTGACATGTTTTTGTGCATTGTGCTCCGCATGAGCATAGGGCCGCCCATTCATTTCAATGGGCTGCCCTGCGCATGACAAAAGCGGCAAAGAAGCTCATGCAGCAATTTGAGTTGCAATCTTCACATGTTTATTTGACTGTGGGTTTCTCATGTGGTAATATGTACCCCAAGATGCACATTTTGCCTGCCACGTTTGGGGTGCCATTAACAAGTAACATCACATGCTTTTTGTTAGGGTTGCACAGATACCAAGTACAGTACTCGGTACAAGTACCATTACATGTACCGATACTTTTGAGCTCCAAGACTAGACTAGAGAAAAATTCAAAAATTAGGAGGCAGCTGTCATTTGTAAGGAGCACACGGAGCTCCTGGGATTTGTACATCTCTGTTTTATTGTACGATTTTGTTTTTATAAATATAAATAAAGGGATGCACAGATACCAGTTTTGCGAGTATGAGTACTGGTACTTGCCGAGTACTTACAAGTATGAGTACTGATACATTTTTGTTTATTGTCATGTGACAGTTTTTCTAAAACAATACAGACTAATGATTTCAGGACAGTGGTGGAGTGCCAGAGCCAGGTCCCAGATGCAATCGCTGCAACCTTGGTAGTTCTCATGAAAATGCCAAGTATCTGCACTGGTACTCGAAAAGTATCTGTGCATCCCTACTTTTTGTGCATTGTATAAATGCATGCAAATGTGCACGCAGCAAATGTGATTGGGACCTAAAAGTAACTCAGAACCCCAAGGACTGGAGCACTCTATGATACCATTAAATGCACAAGCAGCTGATCCTGCCATGAAGGTCATTGTTTAGGCACTTCCTGCTATAGGGTAACAATGCTCTGCCCCTGTCTCTTAATTGTGCTCCTCCATTGTCACCCTGTCACAGTGATACACATGATACCCTGTGCAGAGGAAACAAAATGTCATTCAATAAGTGTTTAGATATAACAAAGTTTATGTCATTGGTTTGTAACCAGGAATGAAATAGAAAAATCCTAATGCAGATCCTAATCTGCTTGTATTGCGTGAATACTAAAGCAATATTTGTAACAGACTGACAATATGTGTGTTTGGGAGACGATATTACCATTAGGTAGTCTCAGTTGTCTAATCGCTGATAAGGGCAATGGATACAAGGACTTTCACACTGTTCAGACCATCTGGGAAGCTCTGGGTCTCAATCTTTAATCTAATCCGTTAACACTTCCTGATTACACCAAGATGGCACCACAGACCACATCTGTTCTCTCTCTTCCAGGCGAGGAGAGAGGACGGAGTTGCAGTGCTACACAAGCGAGAGGTAAAAAGAATATAGAGGGCTGTACAAGTGGAGGAACTTAACGCATCTTGTGTTCCATCGGCCTTTGGATCTCCTTTACTTGAACTGATAGCACAGGCGACCCTTTATCTTCATCCATCCCTGGAGTCCCTTCTCCAGGGCCCCCAGACTGACCTCTGGACGTAGTGGTTACGTCGGGATTTCAATCCCCGTCTACACTCGATCTAGGGAACCCTGTCTATATCCAAACATCTCATTGGGTGACTAATCCATGATCTCCTGAAGAAGCAACGTGCGAAACGCGTAGGGACTGGACATATGGATCTCCCACTTGAATGTATTTGATTAAGCAATATGAAATTGAATTGAATATATGGAGATTTAGGACGAATATGGTTTTATGTTCCTGCCCACAATGTATTTGATCTAGGTCGAATTAAATCAATTTGTATACATGTTTTTATATTTATTATGTGTAAAATAAATACTTTTTATACCAAATAGAACAAGCGTTGGTGTTATACCTCTCATTAAAACCCCATTCTTTCTTTGATTTTGGTACAAGTGGTTATAACCAAAGGGGGAGAGGTCACACCGGGGGACCATTGAAGTAACAATTCACAATTGTATTTCTCTCTCTTCCAGGCATCATGGACAACAAGGTCCCAGGAGCCGTGGGGAATGGGGAACCCTTTCCAGCTCAACCGTTGATGGAGAAGGATCCTCAGGAGGAGAACGAGCAACACATGACAGAGAGAGGACAATGGAAAAACAAGATGGAGTTTGTCTTGTCAGTGGCCGGAGAGATTATTGGATTGGGGAATGTATGGAGGTTTCCGTACCTGTGCTACAAGAATGGAGGAGGTAGGTAGGGATGAGGTTCAGGTTTGCTGCTACTAAGGGTTTGATTTTAATTCTGCAAGTTCAAGTTTCACAGTTCTAGTGAATTTATGTAAAGATTTGTTGAGAGGGTTTTAATAAAGAAGGAGTATCGTCAGAAGATGAAGAAGCCTATTAAAACCCCCCAGGGGATCCAGTGCCCATTACACTTGGTCCCATTCAAATCTGTGCAGTGGTTTTCAAACAAAATAAATACTTTATTTATAAAGACCACCCTAAGGGTGGACAAAAGTCAAAGAGAAAAAGGCACACAAGATAAAATTACATTTTTATTTCTGTCAGTGCCGGCTGTAGCTCCACCCCAGGCTGAAGCCTAAATTATTGGTGTTCCTATGGGGGAGTTACAGCCAATGCAAATACCATTAGTCCAAAGCAAATGCTTTATATTTCTCTCAAAACCTTCAATTACTGTATGCCATATGCACAGCTCAGTGTACAATTTCAACATGCCAGGATGAATGAGCGTGCAATGTCACCCCGGCATGACCAATCAAGATGTCCAAAGATCCCGAACCTGGAAGAAGAGCAGAAGTGAAGATATCAGTGCTGACAAGTGAGCCCACAGATTTTGCATTGCTGGAGGGGAGATACTCCAGAGGTCAAAATATTATTGATTCTTGGAGGGGGGGCTGGGGGGTTCCAATCCCACCATTATTCCCAGTAGCTTCTGTCCAGATCATGAGATAAAGCAGACAGCCATCCTCCTCCTGCCCAGAGCCCAGAATCGTGTGTGCTGTATGGAGAGTGGTGGAGAGAAACAAGTAAACTATGGAGAGGAGGGGGGAAATGGCTGTCTGTTTTATCTCATGCCCTGGATAGAAACTACTGCGATTTATGCTATTGCCGAGAAAAGGATGGCTCAGAAGTTCACCTCTGGAGCGGTGATTGAAGGGGTTGCTTTAAAGTGAAACATACTCACCTCTTCTCCAGCGATGTGACGTCTGTGGGCTCCCTCGTCGGCACTGAGATCTTTTACCCTAGTGTTCTGGGTTTGGAATCTTAAGCCATTGGCTGTTCTGTGATGACATTGCTCCCGTGCATCCATGGGAGTTCATATATCCCAGTATATGTCGAAATTGTACACTGAGCTGCACATGCGGTATACATTGTCCATAAGAAGACAAAAAGGCAGGTGAGAGTATATCTCTTTTGCAATAAAAAGCCCGCCTGGTCGCACTTTTTTAATGTAAGGTTCCACTTTAATATATAGTGAGTCGAGGACAAAAGAGAAATACCAATCCTGAATTTGAACGGGATCAAATACAAAGTGGAGCATCATCTTGTTACTAAGCATCTGTTCTTGTAACTACGTTTTGTTTGCAGCAGGCCACTACATGATTTGAAAGAAAAAAAGTGCAAGAACAGTGTATTCCGAAACCATCTTACATTATATAACTCATATTCACTGTGGGCCAGATAGTACCGGCTCGCGGGCCGGGGGTGGGCCGCGGGCCGGTACTTTGAGACCCCTGCCCTGCGGCCTTCTCCTCACTCAAAGCCCATCCCCAAGGACACCTTACTGGAATGTAGAAAATTTGGTCTTCCATTGGCAAAGTTTAAAAGTTCAAGGCAGGGGTCTCAAACTCAATTTACTCAGGGGCCACTGGACAAATTTTTTAGTCCCGTGGGGGCCGCGACTATATATGGTACCAGTGTTAATGTCTGCACATGTTACAAGCGGCAACTGTCACCCATTTGAGTTAATGATCAGGTGACATCCGCTGCATGTAAATGCCTGCACACCACATGCAATCATATGAGAAAGGATTACATGCAGTTAGGAATCAATCACTCTCCCTGGATAATGTACACAATCTGCACATAATTTATATTTATTGTGCACACATTAATGCAGGTTTAACAAGAGCACAAACACAAGCAATGGTGTGCAGGGAGGCAAAGTAAATCCTTTTCATTTAGATCCACTTTAGTGTTTTTTATTCATCTTACCAAACAGACATGTACTTGCTTCCATTTACAGTGCAGATAGGAATATGAAGCCATTAACCCGGTGCACTGCACCATTAACATCACACTTATTTTCATAAGCTGTAACATTATCACTCCTTCCCAGTAATGTGACTGAGGCCAAAGAGCGCGGTCTGTGTCTGAGAGATGATAACTCAGGTAAAAGGAAGGTTCGGCTTATGTTTGGTCTAGATAAAAACTGAGCCTGTAAAGATAATCTCTCCTGGAATTTTCTTTAGCTCATTTTCTCTGGATTTTTGTAGGATTTGCATTGATTACTGAGCAAATAAGACATTCTCGGCCGAAGCAAACAGAGCACAATGTGAGGAAGCAAAAGGGGCCCCCCTGGAAATATTACTCAGGTGGCCATTTCTAGGTAGAACTGTGTTTGCTGATCAGGCAAACTTGGTGTATGTCTGGGTCCGCAATTCCGGAGGGACAGAATCAAGCCATGGCATTGAAATTGTAGAATTATACATTCTAAGTTGTAGAAAATACTACAAGAAAGGAGTATAATGTGTTGCTTTGCCCAGAGCCGTAGCTAGCTCTTTTTGCGCCTGAGGTAAGAACAGAAAATTGTTCCCCCCAACAGACATGTGATGTCACCCAACGTCGCGCACACGTGGCGTTATGTGCCCCGCCTTCAGGATGGCGGCACGAATGCGCTGGTGGCCAAATCCAAAATTTTAAAAAAATGTGTTTTGTTTAACAAAACTAATGAAAACATATTTAGTTTCCGTTCATTTCGTACGAAACAAATGTTTAGTCTTTGTACATGTCTAATAATTTGTGTGTGTGTGTCTGTGTGGGGGGGGGGGTGTTATTTATTATTATTATTTTTATTTTTTACTGGGGGGGGGTTTGGGGAAAATTCTTGGGTCTAATTTCAAGTCCCTTATGAAATAGAAGAATAAATTGAGTCCTCAATCTCTTTTTCTGCAGACTCTGTTCTAAATGAATAGAGAGCACTCAGGACAAAGGTTTCCCATTCATTCACAAACTGGTGATAGTAAAATATTTACTATCATCCAGTTATCAATGGGTAGCAGTGGCGTAACAACCGGGGGGATGTAGCTGTAGTGAGTTCTTCCACCCATTGAGAAACTCATGAATGAACAGGAAGTGATGTAAAGCACTGTGTCCCCAGTTACTTACAAACACTGGAGTGATCAGCTGATCACCCTAGTGATCAGCTGGAGGGGGGCTGAGGATGGAGCGCTGTCACTTCAGGATGGACACGGCTCACTTCCATCTAGCTGTCAGTCAATGTGCAGTGAATAAGTGTTTTTCCTTTTTCCCTGGCCAGTGTTGGCAGCAGTGTGTATAACTGGTCTGCCTCTGCTAAGAGAGACAAAGTGGTGGGACTCTCCATTTGAGTCACTCTGCAGTCTTTGTAAAAATGAGCTCTCATTTCTTTTAGGTCTGTTTTACAGAAACAGCTGGAAAAAGCCTCTGCTTAGGCTTGGAGCTCAATGCCTCTTAGCTGCAGGTGCTGAATATTAATTATTAAAATGTAATATTTCATATTTACTTGATTAAAATGAGTTTTATAACCATTTTTTTTAATACTAAGCATAAATAGGGAAAAAAGTATAACATTAAATAAATCCCCTTAAAAAAAGGATAGGAATAAGTTTTACTCTACCAATACTAACCCACTGGCAAAGAATGAATGGCAATGGTCACACTGACTGCTTAGTTTCATGAGTGACCAGGGTCAGTGACCTCGGTTGTAATCTATGTAAGTTGAGTTTCCTTGAACTACATATAGCATAACCTTTGCTCGTACATTTACCATCATACTGTCATTCGGGTACATTACTCACAGTACCTGACTTTAGCGCTGGAGTCAGTTGGATAGAATACTAACTACCTGTCCCTGATTCCGAAGGACTGCAACTAATCTTTGTTTTTTTTCTGGGTCCGCCCTGCAATATGTTACTATTACCTGCTTATCCCGCCAGTAGATGCATTATTATTTTACGTCCTGTAACAGGCCGAGCTGTCCAGCAAATGTAACAGTTACAGGGGTTGGGACGAAGCATATAATACTGTCGTGGGTGGGTGCTTACAATGTTCATCTTTTATTCCTATGGTTTAAACCATAAAAATTTTTTTTTGCTGTAACTACTTTCAATTGTGTTAGCTTTAGTTGGACTCTAATTTGTTTGGCTCTTAAAGCCCATAGACTACTCTGTCAACATGGTGGCAATGCTGCTGAGAGATTTCACTGCAGAACAGACAGCGCTGTCACCTTATTATAGGAAGTTAAAAAATATAGTTATTTTCACATGACTGAAAATAACAATCATTATGGCAAATATTACATGTGTTATAGGTTAGAGAATTGAACCTTTTGACATTAATGTAGATCTGACACCATTGTGTCAAGTCATGAAGTCTCTATTATTATTAGTATTATTATTAATATTAATTTACAGGATTTATATAGTGCCAACAGTTTGTGCAGCGCTTTACAATATAAGGAAGACATTACAGTTACAATACAAATCAAGACAAGATGGTAAGGAGGGCCCTGCCCGTGAAAGCGTACCCATTGGGTGTTTAATGGGAGATCCACATTACTGGCCCTGTTACCATGAGAGCTGTTTGGTCTGATATATTTTTCATGGTTCCTACTTTGAGACAATCAACTTTCTTTGCTCAGTGATGCCTTTTTGCACCAAACACAATTTATTCTCCCTGCTGTTGTGTTACACTGTGCCTTCACTGCAATGCACTATTTTAACCAGGAGATGGCGCAAGCACACACCTACAGAAGAGTACCTGGCCACGCAGGTACTTAGTTTCGGCACATTTTCGTAACTTTACGAACATTCGTTATGATGAAGTTAAAAAGCAAAAATACCTTTGTTAATATTGGAGTCGATGTGGTAGTGTTTTTTTAAAATCCGAAATACGAATTCCGTTAACGGATTCCGGATCCGAATTTCGTATTTCGTATTTAAAAAAAAAACTACCATCAACTCCAATAT